TAATTCTCCCTCCGAAATGGATAATTCATTGCTCTGAATGTTTGTTTGCGATTGTTCAGGAAGCTCACTATGTGTAACAATTTCTGCTCTACATCTGCAAATTCCTTTAAAAACTATTTTATTTGTCAGTTTATTGTAAACTTTAAACACTTTATCATCTAAATAAATACTGAACCCTGCATCAGCCAACTTTCTTAAATTTTTGGATACTTCCTTTGCTGCAATTACATTTGTTAATTTAATGACTCTCTTTTCTTCTTCATTCGTTATTAACGAAAGATCTCCTTTACCATCTATTGAAATGTCTGCAAGCTCATTCTTGTTCACGCATTTAATAACTCTATCTTTACATTTTTCAAACTTTGACAGAATAAAATTCTTATTCACAATATGATCCGTAGCACCCGAATCTGCAGTAAAATTGACTACCTCTTTTGAACTATCTCTATCTTCTATTAATTTAACCATGTATTATTTTCCTTCTTTTGATTCTCCTTCATTTGCTGTTTTCGTTGATATAGGTTTCTCAGCTGGTTGTATCTTGGTTATTTTTCCTTTGTTATCTACTCTTTTTGTGCCTTTTTGCACAAATCTACCCTTTTTCTTTATGTTTTTATTAACGGTTTTATTTAAATACTTTTTTCCTCTAGCTCTGTTCGCCTGGGCTTCGGCACTCGGACAATTATCACCCTTGTGACCTCGTATCTCCTGGCAGTAGTAACAAAACCAGGCACCAAATTCTATTAGTGGACAGTCCTTCGCCATATGACCCATTCGGTTGCATCTGTAGCATTTCACTTGTTTCATGTTTTCTTCTGCAGCAGCTCTCTGTACCCTGACTTCGGGTTTCTCTAATTTTTCTCTATTCTCGTTTTTAGTCTTTGCTTCTAACTGCATCATAAAAGACTTTATTTCATTTAATTTTCTCTTTTTAGACTCTACCTCTAGTTCTTTAACCGTTTGTTTACTGTTTTCTACTGAACTTTGGGTATCTTTATTGCTTACCTCTAAACGTCTAAGTTTAACTTTTTCTTTCTCTAAGTTTAAACGGGAGACTTCCACCATATTCTCCATCATCTCGGTGGCCTTCGTCATTACTTTATCCAGCATTTGCATCGAATTGTCCATTTTTGCGACCAATTTTTCTTGCTTTTCATATAATATTTTGGTTCCAATTGGCAGTACTGGACGGTTCTCTTCCCATGCTTTGGTCACATCTATATTCTCTCTGACTTTAGGCAAGTTCTTTTTTTTTTCGAGATTGCACCTTTTTTTTCCATCTCTTTTTTATTTTTTGCTTCTATACGGAATTTTGAAATTACTATTTTTATTTTCTCTGAATGCATATATATATATTATTCTTTTGGACTGCTTTATTTTCAAAAAAATACTCTCTTACCTCTATCTTTTCTTACTGTCTCCTCGTTTTTATTTTTTGCTTCTCTATCTATTACCGTGATAAAGCTGCTATCGCTGTCGTAGTCGACCAGCGCATCTTGGCCTTCTTCTTCTATCTATATCGGGATTTAAATATCAATTGAACATTAGCATTCCTTTTTTGACAAGATAAACCAACATTCGTATTGACAAATAATAATTTACAATTTTTATCACTAGATCTCTTTCAGCGATAAAAGTTTAATGCTTATGAGGCTGTATAGAACGCACTGCAATTCACAATAACCCCAAAGCGAGAAAACCACGCGCCTCTGCAGGGCTATCCGCACGCGCACACCACTGTCCGTTGCGATCCCCAGCACTGCTGAAAAGATCTATGGGAGCTCGGGTTGATCACGCACACGCACGGGGCCCATACAAATTTACGCAGCTTTCCTAAACAGTAACCAAGCTACACCGCA